ATATATATTATTAATATTAATTTTTATTATTTTTATAGTACACGTATAAAATAACATATAAAATATAGTATATAGTATTAATATATGATTTTTAATATTAATATTTATATACTACATAATTATATACATGTATAATTATATTTATTATATTATAATATATTATAATTTTTTGGTTTAGATAAGTTCCGAGTTTCTCGATTAATGAGAGGTTTAACTTTGTATGGATTATTTTGTAATATTTGAAAAATTAATAATTTATTGACTGGGATCATCATGTTTTCGTATCGTATAAACAACTTTATGCGGCATTCGTATGTTCGTGCAATTTCTGCTGTAGTTTTGTATCAACAAACGTTGAATCAGGTATTTATATTAATACATTTAAACTTTTTTTATATACATTTTTTACATAATTAATATAGATTTATTGATCATTTTTGTATCTAATTTTCATATAGATCTGATACCAGAAGCAGATTCGACACCATATTTTTTCAAATCAACTTTTATTATTTTACGCATTAAAAGTAAAGTTTAAAAAAAAAAATGAGATTTTTCATAATTTATTTTTACATTCATTATAGAGAAAAAAAACAATTTATCGTTTAACTATTTTATTATTCATTAATTATTTTATATGTAAATTAATGACTATTTATAGTCATGCATTATAGGATGCATTTTCAGAATTATATTCTTCTAATAATTAATAATACATACAATAAATATCTTAGCAGATAATAATAATATTAATACGGACGTTTGTGTTTTCATATTCACAATTGTCGATACACTATTCATGACAATATTTCCAAAAAATGCATTAATGCAGATAGTCAATAATTTAAACATTCTTAATCTATATATAAAATAAGTATTCAACAAAAAATAAAAAATTCCGTTTTTTTTTTCTGGAATACATGTAAAAATAGATTATAAAATATCTTATGAACTATTGATTTTTTTACAATTTTATTCTTAATGGATAAAGAAGTAAAGTAATATTACAATTATATAAAAACGCGTGCTATAAAAAATGCGTTCTGTCACAATATATCGCTCCTCCTATAAAATCTAATTATAAAAACATAGAATTTGCATTTAGTATAATCGGTATTTAATCTATATTTAATAATATCATACAGAATTACTTACGATAATTTTCCCACAGCAATCATTAAAGTAAGAGTGTGTGACTGGAGTGTGTCAGAAGTCGTAATGCAACTGTAATAAAGTTTTACTATAAATTAGGAAAAATTGCCATAAAAATGTATCAAGATCTAGAAAAAATTTATAGTAATGATTATTTGAGCTATGAACAAGTGTTTTGCTGATTTTCAACGTTTAAAAAAGGAGCGGATTCCTGTAAGATAAAACACGCTGTAAACGACCAGTTTCTACACAGCCAGATAGTCATTACTGTAAGATTATTTTACGCCTTGGTACGCTTGCTTCTATGACAGTTTCCCCTAATTTATAGTAAAATTTTAATACAGCTTTTTGCTTCATGACTTCTGACTTGTTCCAGTCACACATTCTTACTTTGACGATTGTCGCACAAACATCGTTGTGTTATCCAATTTAACAGTTGCACTTGCAAGTTCAATACTCTTTAGCAGTCACAACTCTAAACACATACCACACGAAAACAATAGAACTCCGCCATGCAGTAACTTAATGCCATCTATGAAAATCGGGCACGAACTTATGCAATCATCCAATATAATATAAATAAATTTATAAGTGACTATTTAATATAAAATCTATTAAAACATATAACTTAAAAGATCACATTGAATTACTTACGTTTTTAAATATTATATTTATCTACTGAATATTTTATACATTTTCGTACTAAAAATACACAAAAAAAAAAAATTATAATAATGATAGTTTTACACCATATAATACAAATTCAAAAATTTACGTAAGAATCACACGATGACTTTATTTATTCTTATAAAAAGTCAATAATTAAATAAATAAGTGAACATAACATGGATTTTTTAATTTTAAAATATTTATTTTTATTTACATTTTTTTATAGCAAAGAAATTTTTAACTATTTATACATTTATTATCATTATATGTATGTATGTATGTATGTATGTATAAGTTTATTGTTCCCCAATGGGGTTACAATCTTTACATTCCCTTAACCTATTACCTTAGTCTATTACATTCTGTACATGCTTCGCCCTATCATCGCCCTTTCTATCATTCTCTCTCTCTCTCTCTCTCTCCGCTTTATTCTCCTACTGTTTTATCTCTAACTTACATACTACTTACGTCTATCTTACGCTAAACCTCTCGAGTGTCACGTCGAGCACTGCCTGAGCAACGGAAGTCGGTTCAGCCCGACAGAGCCAAGTACAACCTTGGCCCCAGGTAGAGGCAAGAGCCGGTGCAACCCGGCGGGGTCGAGGGCAACCTCGACTCCAGGCAGAGCGTGTCGATACAACCCGACGAAGCTGAGTTCAGCCTCAGCCCCAAGAGGCAGTAGGTAGTGTATGTATGTATGTATGTATGTAGAAGTTTATTGTTCCCCAATGGGGTTACAATCTTTACATTCACCTTAACCTATTACCTTAATCTATTACATTTTGTATATGCTTCGCTTTATCATCGCCCTTTCCATCATTTTCTCTCTCTCTCTCTCTCTCTCTCTCTCTCTCTCTCCGCTTTATTCTCCTACTGTTTTATCTCTAACTTACATACTACTTACGTCTATCTTACGCTAAACCTTATCTCTACTGGACCCCCGCTTCCGCTGTTCTTCCTTATAGTTTTTCCGCCCCTCTTTCCTCTTTCATTCTTCTTTCATCCTCCACCTTCTCTCTCTTTCTCTCTCTCACTCTCTCTCTTTCTCTCTCCTCCTCCTCTCTTTCTCTCTCTCACCCTTCTCCTTACCCCTGTTCTCCTTCCCTTCCCTCTCTCTTCATTCTCTCCCCCCACCTTCATACGTTCACCCCTTTTACTCCCTCCTTTCCCCACTCCACCCTTCTTCCCCCTTTTCCCCTTCCCTGCTCTCACCCCCTCTCGCTCTTTCTACCTCTTTCATCCATTCTTCTCCTCCTCCATCACCTCCCAGCATCCTTTCCACCGCATCCTGCCAACTCTCCTCCCTCCCTCTCCCCTCTCCCGTACACCCTTCCCATACATGTTCCCAAGTCTCTTCCACTCCTCCACACACTCTACATGTCCTCTTCTCCTCTCTCTCCCAGTATAACCCTTCTCTTATTTCGTTTTCCTATTCTGAATCTTAATACTCTTCTCCATCTACTTTCCGCCCATCCTTTTTTCAGGTACTCTGGGGTGTCCTCACCCCTCACTCTTCTGTACCACTTATTGTACCTCGATTCTCCTATTTTCTTTTCCCTTTCTTCCTTCTGCTTTCTCCTATCTCTCTCTTCTAGCTCCTCATACTCCCTTTCCTTTTCCTTCTCGCCTTGTACCCCTCTTTCTCTAAGAAACTCCTCTTTTTCCTGCTCCCATGCCCCTATCCTCCTCCCTTTTTTCCATCTCTCTCTCATCTCTAACCAACATCTTCTAGCTATTTTTCCACCCTTCCCTTCCTCTAGTCTTTTTTTTGAAATTCTACGCCCTTCTCCCCGCTATTCCTCTCATCAACCCTTTCCCTGTCTCTTCCCTAATCATATACCCTGACGTTTTCCAGTCTGCTCCCATTGTCCATTTCAAGTACCTATCGTGTGTGCCATCTATCTCTTTTCTCTCTTTCCATCTCCATATCTCTGCTCCATACCCCATTACCGTCCACACCAATGTGTCATACAGCCATATTCTCCTTTCCCAGTCTTTTCCCCATAACCTTTTCCCGATTCCCCAAACTTCCCTCATCACTATGGCCGCCCTTTTTCTCCTCTCTTTTACGTGTGCCTCCTGCCCTCCATTCCTTTGTATGGTGTACCCCAGATATTTGAACTGCTTCACTTCTTGTAATTTCTTCCCCTTCCATCTCCAATCTATCTTCTTTGTCTTCCCTCCTCCCTTTCTAAATCTCATTACTTTCGTTTTTTCCGCGTTCAATTCCAAGCCTTTTTTGTCCAGATATCTCTCTAATCTACTCAGCATAGCTCTCATATCTTGTTCTTCTTCCGCCATTAACACCACGTCATCCGCGTACGCCAATGTATATATCTTTTCTTCTGCTAATCGTACTCCTCCCCATCCGCCTCTTGTCATGTCCTCTTCTAAGTCCGCCAGGATAACATTGAATAACATCGGACTCAGTGGACATTCCTGCCTTAACCATCTCGTTGTCCAAAATTCCTTTCCCGTCCTAGTATTCTCCTACTTTCACCCTACTCTTTGTTTCCCTTACTATTTCTTCTATTCTTTTCACCAATGCTTCTCTTATACCCCTTTTCCTCATCACCCTTATTAGAATCTTTCTTTCTATTGAATCAAATGCCGCCTTCAGGTCTATAAATACCGCCGTCATTTTACCTCCTTTCTTACCTATCTCTCTGTTAATTAGGTAGTTTAGCGCGTATATCTGGTCTACTGTTCCCGTTCCTTTTCTAAACCCCGCTTGGCTCTCCGACAGCATCTCCTTTGTCTCCATCTCTTCTTTCAATCTCTCCCCTAATGCCGCCGCGTATATCTTATAAATTGACGGCATTAGCGTCACACCTCTATAATCTTTTGTTTCTACTCCCTTCCCTTTTTTTTTCTCCCATCGCTATATCCTCATTCACCCTTTTCCTTCCCTTCCTTTCTTTTCTTACTAACTCCCATACTTTTCCCTCTGTGTTTGCTTCCCCTACTTCTCTCATAATCCCGTCCCTTTCCTCTCTTTTCTTCTCTTCACATAGATCCTTATATTCTTTTTTTCTTTCTCTATACCTATCTCCTCCCCCTCCCTCCGTTCTCCATCTCCTCAACTCCCTTCTAACTTCTCTTTTTCTCTCTCTACACTCCTCATCCCACCATCCCCTTCCAGAGCTTTTTTCCTTTCCCCTCTTCTCCTCGCATCTCTCTAATGTCTCCCTTACTCTCTTTCCCATTTCCTCTATTTCGTCCTGTATCTTAACCTCTCCTCTCCTCACACTTCCCATTTTTTCCCTAAACATCCCTTTTTCGTCCCATACCTCCCTTTTTCCTTTCCTGACGTTGCCTTGTTTCTTCACCCCCCTGCTCGTGCTCCCCTTAACCCATGCTATCACCGGGTGATGATCTGAGTCCACCTCCTCTCCTATTTCTAGCCTCTCTATTTTTTCTCTTACCTTCTCGTCACCTAGAATATAGTCAATAACTGTCTCTCCTCTTCCCCCGGTGTATGTGAACTCTCCTTCCTCGTCTCCTTTTATGCTTTCATTCAGTATTGTCCATCCCCTTTTCTCTATCCAGTCTATCATTTTCTTCCATCCTTATTCATTTTCCTATCCTTCGATCTCCTTCCCTTTTCCCCTTTCCTTAGTTCCTCTTCGCTCGTCCACCCTCCCTTCTCTCCTGTCCTCGCGTTAAAGTCCTCCCCTATTAATGTCTTAATCTCCTCTTCCCCTTCTTCCATCCAACTCTTTACACCTTCCATCTTTCTTTCCACATCCCCGTTTACATATATATCCACTATTCTCCAGCTCTCTCCCCCCATGCTTAACCTGCAGACCATTCTTCCCTCCTCTTCCTCCTCCCCTTCTTCTTCTACCTCCCTTTTTCATCCCATACCCCCCTTTTTCCTTTCCTGACGTTGCCTTGTTTCTTTACCCCCCTGCTCGTGCTCCCCTTAACCCATGCTATCACCGGATGATGATCTGAGTCCACCTCCTATTTCTAGCCTCTCTATTTTTTCTCTTACCTTCTCGTCACCTAGAATCTAGTCAATAACTGTTTCTCCCCTTTCCCCGGTATGTGAACTCTCTCTCCTCGTCGCCCTTTATGCTTCCATTCAATATTGTCCATCCCCTTTTCTCTATCCAGTCTATCATTTTCTTCCATCCTTATTCATTTTCCTATCCTTCAATCTCCTTCCCTCTTCCCCTTTCCTTAGTTCCTCTTCGCTCGTCCACCCTCCCTTCTCTGTCCTCGAAAGTCCCCCCCCCCCTATTAATGTCTTAATCTCCTCTTCCCCTTCTTCCATCCAACTCTTTACACCTTCCATCTTTCTTTCCACATCCCCGTTTACGTATATACCCACCTATTCTCCAGCTCTCTCTCCCCATGCTTACCCTGCAGACCATTCTTCCCTCCTCTTCCTCCTCCCCTTCTTCTTCTACCCTTATATTCTTCTTCACTCCTAACAGCATACCTCCCCTCGCTCTTCCCTTTTTATTCTTTCTCTTTGCTGTCTGCATTTTCCATGTAAACTCCTTCGGTAATCTATCTTTTACCTTTCCCCATCCCTTCTCCTCTATCCATGTCTCCGACATCACTATTACATCCCATCCCTTGATCCTTTGCCAAAACTCCCTACCCTTATTTCCCACCCCTGGTCAAATTCCAAAACGCCACCTTCCATATTCCTTCTTGCTCCTTCCTTCCCCTCTCCCCCGTTCCTCTCTCCCCTCTACTTTTTTCTCTCCCGTTTCCTACATTTCCCCCTGCTCGCTCACTACCTCTCCTTCCTTATCTTTTAGCCTTTCTTCTTTTTTTACATTTCCATTCCCGTCCTTCAAAACTTCTTCCTCCTCATCCCATCTCCACCATTTTTCATCTATTCTGATTTTTCCATAACTTATCCGCACTTTCCTCCCTTTCTTTTCTTCTTCCTTCGCCATCTCCTCTAACCTCCATCTCATTCTTCTTTCTTTCCATGTCCAGTCCTCCATAATTCTCTCCTTCCTGCCTCTCAACATTTTTTTCTTATCCCAAATCTCCTTTTTGTTCTTCATCCTTCAGCCTTACTAAAATCATCTCCCTCCCTCCCTCCATAACTCCCCCTATCCTTTTTACTCCCTCTATCTCCACTTTCACCCCTATACTAGCAAATACCTCCTCTATCGCTATTCTTCTTCTCCCCTCCTTCACCTCTGCCCCTTTAATCAGAACATTTCTCTTCCTTTCCTCCCTCTCCCTTCTTTCCATTCTTCTTTCTATCTCCTTTACCTTATTCCCCATCTCTCCACCTCTCTCCCGTCTTAATTCCTTACTCCCTTCCACTTCCCCTATACCGCGCTTTTCTAATTTCTCTATTTTCCTCTCCATCATTTTGATACTCCACTTCAGTTCCTCCCTTTCCTCCAACCATCTTTTTTCCCTCTCACCGAATTCCCTTCTCAACTCTTCCATCTCCTCTCTCATCATTTTTACTCGTTCTTTAATTCCTTCTTTAACTTCCTCTTTCATATTTCTTATTTCCTCCTTCCATCCCTTCATACTTCTCATCTCCCTCACTAAATCCTCCATTTCATTCCTCCAACTTTTTATTATTTCCTGCATCTCCCCCTCTCCTCCTAACCTTCCTAACACCGGATCCTTTAGTACTCCTGTCGTCTTCTTAAC